GGGCTGAAGTTTTGTCTATAGGCAGATTGAAGGTGGTTGTCTCTTCTTGTCGAGTCTCCCTCAAGCCCCTAAGCATCAGTTTGCCTGTCCATCAAACACAAATCATTACTCTTCTTTTGTATTTTTTGTATTATGATGACAGTATCTGTTCTATGAGTAAACTGTTAAATGTACAGGTGAAACCCAAGATATCTAGATTCTTTATCTGATATACAAAATAGACAAAGAAAGGATAGTGGAAGCAACAAAACAGCTGCTCCTCAGAGCCACACTTGGCAAACACAGGAAAGATTTTGATTAATTCCCGATTTGTTTTGCAAATACCCACACAAGGGAGAAAACACACTGCTGTGAGGGGGGAGCTGCTGCTCCTCGCAGCTCAAGAAGTTTAAAGCATTTCAAGGTGCCGTTCTTTGCCCTCCAGCACCCCCAGCTGGGCTCCCGGCAGGGCAAGCGCCGTCCCGACTTTTCTGTCGCTCACAACAGGCTCAGTCAGTCGGTGTCGCTCACAACAGGCTCAGTCAGTCGGTGTCAGGGCACTAAAGACAACGAAATGTTGCTTCGCTCTATTGAAGCCTCAGAGTCTGATTTGGGCGGAAATTCAGAGGGGCCTCCCCCCAGAATTATGTCCTCTGCACATTATTCTTTGGACTCTGGCTAAGTAGCTGATTTGTTTTGAAGCCAATTGTCACTGAGCTGCTCACTACTTCCAATGTCAGGTTGCTAGTCCTGGGCAGGACACTGTGTATTAAAGCAATTTTCCTTTGATGACTCTTTTACCAGGATGGCTAGTGCTCAGCTCACAGGATGGTGTGCTCCTGTACAGGACTTGATCCCATATCATAGCTTGATTCCAAGTCAATGAAAGGCTCAACAGTACCTGGAAAACAATCACCAAGTTACTGTAATGGCTACGTCCCATAACAGAGTACCAGGATGAGGTCATGGCACACTGAGCAAGTGCTCTCTCTTCATTTCCCTGGCTGTTCTCCCCATTGGGCTTGCAGGTGCACAGAGTGACCTGTGAGCAGATGTTTCAGACGAGTACTCTGGCATGTAAGAGGAACCTGTAAAAATTCCTTTGGAAAGAATATCTAAAATTAGTTGCTTCTGAAATACATAATGTCACACATGTCACTGGACTCACCAGAGGCAGAACCTCATGTACATTCTGCTGCCTGTCTACGGTTGATCAGCTGTATAGGATTGTTATCCCCCACCACAACAGACTTCAGCCAGCAGCTGGGCTCCTTTCCAGCATCACTTTTCACATCTAAAAAAGCATCAGCTTGAATATGAAAACAGAATGCCAACGTGATGATCTTTTCTCCATAACAGACGAATGCAAATCTTGCATTAGGGATAGAAAGCAATTTTGATGTGCAATGACTATTAAAAGAGGTCTCCCAAGTTTTTGTTTCATCTAAGGGAAGAATTATTGGCATAGAAAATCTACTTAGTCCCCTCTTCACCTCTCTCCTGAAAAAGCCTACAATCTTTAAAACTGTGTTTTGAACTTGTGTTCAAAGTCAGAGCTGTAGAATATCAGCAGATTTTAAAATACCTTCTCAGAAAACTATGGTCAGATGTATTCAAGTTTTTTAGTATCATAGTTGATGCATTGCCATTCTCAATTCAAATACTCCATAAAGTACCTTGCCCTGAAATTAAACTTCTTATTTATTGCCTCTTTAAGTACCAGTTAATATTAATTTCACTCTATGTTTACATTAAATATTCCACAAGTAGCTGAGGGAGAGTGCAGACACATCCTATTGCCTTTTGCTATCACAGATGGGGCAAAGAAAGACAGTCACATTTAGCAAAGATTCTCATTATTCAGATGCAAAGACAACTCTTAGATGTGCTGTGCTTTACAGAAAAAGACTGAATTCATAGCCAGATTTGAAACTTCGGCCTCTCTTCAAAAGAGCATCTCAGGCCAGACTCCTCAATCAAAAGTTACAGAAGGGTTTAAAAATTTGAAAGTAACAAAATTGTATTTGACTGAACTAGTCCTCTTACACCCTGGCAAAAATCTGCTAGCAGAAGCTGCAATTCAGTTTTCAAACAGATAAAAGCCTTAGATGTATATTTCATTTATATACTTTCATAGTGTTAAATATTTAACATCACAAAGTTTAAAAATAAGCTAAACAATTGATAAGGGATGTTTTCTGGCACACTATCCCTGTTCCTGGTTTGCTTTTGATTTAGAGACTGTATTGCAGACTTGTTAATCCCAGAGGTTACTGTTTTCTATTTCTCTTACTCATTACCATACAGACAGGCTGAGAAGAAAATAGGTCACAGTGAGAGGCTGTTAGTCACACAGTCCTCCTCCTTCCTTCCTGTTGCACAAGCCTGTCAACTTTTCTGCTCGAAGAAGAAAGATCGATACAAGAGTGACTGTCATCTTTATTACATAACAAAGCAAGCCTAGGAATATCTATGGTGTTATTGTGACATGTATGGGGTAAAGACCTATTTTCTGTTCTATACTATTTCTCAGTTTCTCTGTTTTTTCTTCCTTTTCAGAGCAGAACCACAGTACTCACAGCTTAAAACTTCCCCCAGTGACTGTGCTCCCTGCAAAAGTCACAGAAAACTAATCTTAAATAGGATTTCTCTCACACTAACAGTTTGTTAGCATTGTTTTTCCTTGCTGCTTCTTAACACTGGCAACAAAGGTTCTTAAAATATTTTGTCTAGGACAGAATTTGCATTAGAGATTAAAAGCTTGTCCTTGGTGAAAGCTTCCCTTCTGCTGTAAAGGCAAACCCTCGCACTGGGCGCTAGAGGGCCCAATAAATATCCTTTAGATACACAGTATCTCAAAGCCTTGATATACTACTCCAGAGACAGAACAGTGTGTACAATAAACTTCGCATCAATCCTAGGGTAAGGTGTAAGAATAGTTAAAGTAGTTCCTGCATGGTTATGTTCTAATTAATTTCTTTTCTGAGACAGATGACCATCCCTTGCACTCTAACCCACAGTAGGCCATTTGTATGAAGAAAACGCGCACATGCACACACAAATACGATATTAGCATTTCCACACGAATTTATACAACAACTATTATGCATCACAACATTGTGTGCTGTGTCATCTGATAAAGTGGGAGGGGGGAACTTTCATCTAGTTCAATTGCTGGAAAAATCAATCAACCTAAGTGCTTCATGAGTTTGTACTTTACAGTGGTATTTATAATAGCTTTGATTGTGTTTATGACTCAACTCAGTGCTGGCTTGAATCAACAAACCTGGTTGTTTCAGAGTGGTTTAGATCGAAGTGCTGAGCTCTCCTTTCCTGGATCCAATGACAGTGGAAAGGGTTCAAAGCTGCACTAGGGCAGGTTCAGACTGGACATTAGGAAGCATTTCTTTACCAATCATTCAGTGTCGTTTCCCTTTAACCCTCCCCAAGGAATTTATTAACAAGAACCTGGATTACCCTCACCTTCTGCAGTGAGCCACTACAGCACCCAGCTGCTGTTGCACGTTAAAAGTTTCAGCAATTCTTGACATAAAGACTGAAGCTTTCCTGTTCCAAGGTCATCCCAGTGCCTAAGTAATAAAATGATGCCTGCTTTCTCTCTTTTCCTTCACCAAAACATAAAATATTTTTCTGCAGTGAAACAGTTTCAACAAGAACTAATGATGTAGCCACTCTGGAATAAACAACTTGCAGTTTAATGTGGAGGTCATTCTTTAAGAATGGGTCTTTGGCTTCCCTCAAGCTGAAGACAGAATTAAATCCAACTCATGAACTTTCTAAATAAGTGGACCAATAAACAAATGCTGCAGTGTACAAAAAACAAAAACAAAACCAGAAGCAAAACAAAAACAAAACAAAAAACCAAACAAAAAACCCCCCATAAGTATTTCTACCCTCCTCTGCTAAGTGTCCAATGCCTGCCTCAAGAAAATCAATAGAAAATTAAATTTCTTCAAGTTTCTTGATTAGATTTTCAGAGAATAAAAGTTATTAATCTTCTTTAGAGGGTTTGGGGCTACAAATCAAGAGTAATAGTATTTTAGATACCAGTAGGGAAGTGTACCTATAATATATCTGAAGAACAGTATTTAAGCTACAAACTTGTGCCAATTCCTCCAATAGCTAAGTCGTTCATAAAACAGAAGGGTTTTTTCTAACCTCTATGAGAACTAAGATCAGCAGAGTGTTCTGAATGCTGCTCATGAGGTTAGACAAGTGGAAGTTGTTTTTAGTCTCTGTGAGCCTTAAGAGATGCCTATGGGAGACAAAGCAACCAGATTTGCATCACTTTTAAAATAAAGGGCTTTGAGCTGACCATCATCACTGAGGAGTAAAATCTTCTTATTATGACAGATAATTCCAGACAGTCATCAGCTCAGCAGCCCATAGTGGTCAAAAAAGCACAAATTTTACATCAGGGATTAGCGGGACCACAGAACAGAAAATCAGAGTATTGGGTATATCCAAGGCAGGTCCACAGTGTGAAAGCTATGTGTAGAGCTGGTTCCCTTGCTTAAAGAAAGGATATAGCAAAACTGGAAAGAGGCAGAGAAGAGCACTAGAGAGGACTGAAAGCACAGAGCAGTTTCTGAACAGAGATCACCCCCGAAGAACATCCCAGGAAAGAGGCAATTCACCCGGCACAGGCTGCAAGTCCACAAAATCACCAGCGGACGGGGGAAGAGCAGGCACTGATCCTTCACTGCCGCCCACAGGACAAGAATTACAGCTGTGGGGTACCGAATGAAACCAGATGCAGAGGGAAAAAAAGCCGGAGCCGTGGCTGCGGGCGGCGCCGATCCCGATTCCTCCCAGCTCTGGCCGTGTCCCAGGGCCCGCCAGCAAGAGTTGGACTCGGTGATCTTTATGGATCTCTTCCAGCTCAGGATTTTCCGTGATTTTATGAAGGGCGGCTCCCAGCCCCGCCGCAGGTGTGCGCCGGGCCCCGAGGAGCAGGTAAGGGCAGCCCGGCTGGGGCCAGGCACGTTCTGGAGCCACTTTCCAGAGGGCGGCGCGATGCACCCGGGCATTCTCCTCGCTCCTGTTCCTGGTGTTTCTCACCGGCAAATCTCTCACTTGAGTCCTCAGGCACCACCAGATTATCAAGAGAGAAGCGCCCCAGCGCTCCCCAACGATGGCAGGTAAGAGCAAATGCGGCTGAAAATGCTGCTCGCTCCAGGGCGCTGGGCACCTCAGGGATGGGGACTCTCTGCTGGGTTTAGTTGGCACACTGAGGTCTTGGTTTTCCAACCGACTGAAATTACCTCAGTAAGTGGTGCCTTGGAAAACTCCAGTCTCTCCAAACCCTGTGCCCAAGTGCCCTCAGCTCCACCTAAATGGAAACAAATCAGCATTTTTGCAGAATCAAACTGAGCACCCTGGGGAAATTGTCCATCTCCAGGCACTCCCCACAGCTCCCTGGCTGCTGGGAGCTGGCAGGAACAGCAAGGGGCAACTGCTTCTTATATTCCAGAATAACATGTATTCTGGGGTTTTAAAAGTTTGTACACATGTTGAATTTATGATAGCACTTGACCCACAAGTTTTAATTCTATTTTTTGCATAGCTCTTGTTTCATGGACACTGTACACTCAGGTGAAGTAATTACCCCAAATCATTTAGGTTAAAAATGAGATGTTGTTTCATCAAATATTCAGCTCGTCTGCTACTAGTTATCTCTGACACCATGAATTTGCTTTTCACTCAGCAGGTGTTGCTCTGGGCTGAAGCTTTGTCCCAGAGAAACTGAACTCAGGAGATGCCTGAATTTTTGTCTTTGCAGTCAGGAACTAGGAGCTGCATGCTTTTCAGACCCTGTCATATTCAATAATCCCTACAAATTTTGCTCTCTGGTTATCTATAAACAACTCCTGCTGCATACAAAATATCTCCTCTTTCCTTGTTGTCTCAAGAGAAGGGGCTGGGTTTGCTGACGTAGGGCAGTGTGACCTGCTATGGAACACCCCCCTCATCCACTGAGTTCCACCTAGGAAAGCCCAGTGTAGCACAGAATTGCTGGGCTGGGCACATGCAGCAATCTGTGCCTCAGGAGTCACTCCCTGCTGCTGAGCAGGAGTCAAATGCTGCCACTGCCACTCTGCTTTCACTGCTTTTGTGCCCTTGGGAAAAGACACTATAGAAAAAGCAAGCAACAAGCCCCAACTCTACAAACTGTTCTGCATCTACCTCCTAGAGTCCAAATGGTCTCCTGGTTTTCTTCCTGCCTCCAGGGAAAAGAGTCCTGATAGTCTATGCACATCAAGAGCCCAAGTCCTTCAATGGATCTTTGCTGAAGATTGCCGTGGAAGAACTGACCAAGCAGGGCTGCAGCGTCACCGTGTCGGATTTATACGCCATGCAGTTTGAGCCCAGAGCAACAAGAAATGACATTGTTGGTGAGAACTGCCAAAAGACACCTTTTTCAAAAGCAGGGAATTGTAAAGCCACCCCCCCACCAGCTATCAGAAGGTTGAAAAAAGTCTCCCTGAAATCTTCCCCTTGCTGAACAAGTCAGCAGCTCTCAGTCTGCCTTGGTAGGAGAGGTGGTCCAGCCCTCAGGTCATGAAGAGATTAATAAGAAACTTATTTCATAATAAGAAACCTATTCGTGAATAGACATCTGCATTTCTTAAAGTGCACTCCTGTACATGAACTTTGTGTCACAGTGAGATTACTGACAGGAAAAACACATTAGCACGTGTCCATAATCAGCCTCTAAAGTCCATTCCTCATGGGGAGGAAATGCCTTCAGATCCCATTCTGGGATTTGCTACAGTTTAGTATCCAAGGCTACAACTGCCCTTGTCTTCTTCTAGAGACCAGTGATCTGCTAGTGGAATCAGTAGAGTTGGCCAGTACTGGTTCCCCATCCCTTGGTGAATTTCCCAGTTACAGAGGCTGCAAAGCAGCTCCATCGTGTTTACAAGTGCATGATGGCCTCAGTAAACCCTAAAGCAGAGGCAGAACAATTAACAGCTTTCTCTTAAATCATCCACCTGCATGCCCAGAGTCCTAAGGCAGGCTGAGGTGTTCATACTGCACTTGCTGTGCTGCCACTGGAAGGTGAAGCTTTAGAACTCTGAGACCCTACATTCCTCTCCATTTTAAAATCGAGTCACCATCAGCTGTGATGATGCTGAATATCCAACAAAGACGACAAAATAGGAAAAATGGAACACGGTAACTCAGTTTAGAACTGGGAATGGCAACCTGCATCCACTCTTATCTGGTGCTGATACTGGACACGGGGCAAGGAATGACTGTCCACTTCTACCCACAGGTCGCCTGCACAACTCAGAAGCCTTCAATTATGGTGTGGAAACCTGGGAAGCTTACAAGAGAGGAGGTTTGTCCAAAGACCTGGTTGAAGAGCAGAAGAAGGTGCAGGAAGCAGACTTGCTGATTTTTCAGGTCATTATTTTAAACAGAATTGGGTTGTGATGATGTTCACTTTATCTCTAGGTAGTGGTACAGGAAATACTACAGGATTAATCAGCAGCACAATTACCTGGGTCATTATTACAGCAAATCCAGAAACTGAGTAGCACCATGATGCAGGTTGAAACAACAGCAACCCCAAGAACTCCCCAACACTGAGGCTGACAGAAAGCAGAGCAAGGATTCTTTTCTGGGTGAGGAGCTGGGGCAGCCAGCAAAGTCAGGGAATTGGGCTTTCCCAAGAAGGCTGATTTCATTTGTTGCTGAGTTGCACAAGCACTATTGGGAATTGCTAATGGGTTTTTACAGCCCATTTCTATTCTCCACTATGTCATTTCTGTTCCAAACATCTACAAATCCCAAAGACCTGTGAAGAGAAATAGTAATCTTACATTTCTTTGTGTCCCTGTTGGCCTTAGACATATCTATATATATTCCACTGTCCAAAGTTAGATTAAATTTTGGATGGGGCCATATCTCAATTAAGCATTTCAGTGTAAGTTATCATCATTTTCACATTATCAATTCCCAGATAATAAAAGTAAGACATGCCCTGAAGGAAGTGGTTGCCTTCTACTTTCCATCTGTAGAATGCTATGAAGAGTTGAGTGTGTTCTGGTGCAGAAAAGAAAAAAGAAATTTAAAAAGCCTCTAAAGGACATCATAAAGGAATTCAAAATTTGCTACAGACTAAAGTCACTGCTAGTAGTGACTGTGGTGGTTTCCCAGTTTCAATTTTGTTTTCACCTTGTATTAAGCCACATGTGGTTACATGTTTTTTAGAATTTCTTCCTTTGTGTGCAGTGTGTACAAAGGTTTAGGGGTAGTGATGCAGCCTAGTGTAAGACCCCATAAAACAATCAATATAATGTCATGAAGACATGATAGCTTTGGGATGCAGTTCCATTGGCTAACCTGAAGATCTAGGAAACAAAGACCCAACTGTTAAAGAAGTTTGTTTCTTCTCAGTAAAGGGATTTGGGGTCATGATTTCAGCAGGGTTTGAAAATAACTCTTTCCTAAGATCTCCTGGCATTTGTGAACAGACTGTCAGATCAGAACTGATCACCAGATGTCAATCCTGCTAATAAGATATTAGATTCTTTTGCATTCCAGCCATAGGAGACATGACTCTGTACAGTCTTAAACCTGAATTAAATTGCACCCTCCTGCTTCATCCTATTCCACCTTTTAGTCTGGGTGGAAGCCCTCACATGCACCATGGGGTTGGTGTGCTGTAGATGCTCAGGTCTGGCTCTGAGGTTACAACAAACAGAAAGCACCCAAGTTCCTTTTGCCAGGCACAGTTACTGCCTCTCCTGACAGAGAGCTGGCAGAAGGCACATGCAGGATCTGAGCAGGTTCAGAGGACAGGATTTGTCCTGTAAACCAGGCCTAAGGGTGGCCCAGCCTGTCTGTGCTGACCAGGTAATTCTCTCTTTGCCTAGTTTCCCTTGTTTTGGTTCAACATGCCTGCAATCCTGAAGGGCTGGATGGACAGAGTCTTGGTCCAAGGCTTTGCTTATGATTTGTCAAAGGCTTACGATGGTGGCTTGCTCCAGGTATGTTTTTGGAATTGTTTTATTAAGGTCAAGGCTTGCACCATGTTCTGTGGGGCTTTGTTTATTCTTTTCCATTGTGGTTGTTTAGATCTCTCACTTTACGCTGTGTTGAAGTAGTGCATCAGTCCTGCTTCACCCAAGACATAATTCCTTTTCTTTAACCTATCTCTTCCCAAAGACAGCCAGTCCACTGTCTAATTGTGTGACATCAATCTTTGCCTCAGAACTGCCACTTCATGTAAGGTCTGGGAAAGAAGAGGTCACCCTCTCCCCTAGACATCCATGCTCTCCAGGTTTCCCTGAAGATCTCTTGAACCATTCAGGCACTCTTCTTTAAATATGTCTTAATCAACCACTACTTTCATAATTCTAGGGCAAATTATCTCTGTTTTCTTTCACCACGGGAGGAAGCAAAGAGATGTATTCAAAAGAAGGTATCGGTGGTGATATTCGCTATGTCCTGTGGCCCATGCAGGTATAATATATGAACATTTGGCTGTTGTTTACATAACTTTTTATTATCCCAGCTATTTTTAACAATTGTTTTATTGGGTTTTTTTCTATATGAAACATAATTATTAATAATCAAGTTGTCAGTTCCAAGGATCTGTAGGTTGTAAACTGTTATCTAGAATCCTGGGTCTACTTTAAAAGTCCACTGACATTTAAAGTTGTTTTGTTCCCCTTCTTGCAGATCAGAATGTAGAGAAAGCTTAACACTGTCAGCCTCCAGTTTCCCTACTGTTACAGGAGTTCCTTTAGCTCAGCTATGCAGGAGCTGTTCCCTGTGGTTTCCCAATTCATGTAGGATTTAGGGCAGGAGGGGAGCCACATATTACCCTAGCAGTAACAATCAACATGCAAAAGTTAGCATTCCTCTTCTAATTGCTACTCTTTTATCAGAAGTACCAGCATGGTTTGAGAAATACAGGTGGTAAGTTTTGCCAGCTTCTTCCTGACACAACACAACAAATGATCTAAAATTCCAGTCTCCTCCACTCCACACCCAGTTACCAGCTGCCTGCTCCTGTGGAGATGTCCAACTGAAGAGCTCACAGGTCAACATGGCAAAAACGTAAAAAACAACTCTAAATTCAGAAACACAGAGGGAAAATGGCAAGTTGAGCTGATTCCAAAGGTAATAGCCTTCCTGCAGAAACATTTAGCTAAGCCAGAGGTAAAGGGTTAAAAAAAAACATCTTAGAAATAGATGTGGAACACTGCAGTTAGAGAAAAATCTGAGGAGTTTCAAACTGGACAATGAACTT